TCCAGATCCCTTTCAGTGAGGTTATTGAGTTGCTTCTTATTTTCTAAAGTGTAATTCCAAAGTTCAAAATACAATTGATATTCATATTCTATTATGTAACAACAATACTTACTGCTTCTTTGTGTACACTTATAAACCCTCTTGCTTTCCTATTAATCTTGTGTGTTGACGATTAATTTATATGCTAATGCAGTGGAAATTGTACGATTTGGGATTGATGTTTATTTCACTAAATATCATATTGAATACATAATTGCAGGATTAATACAAAACAGTGTCCTAATGAATATAATATGTTATTACATAATTTTTAGGCATATGAATACTGCTGGGCAGTATCTTAATCGCGCATCGCGCGACACAAAACTAGTACCTAGATACGTTTGGTGACCCCTGTTTTCATCTTTATCAGCTTTATCAGATAACTTTGTTATCAAATACTCCGTACATAATTTTTTTATTAAGTTGATTAACACCGTTTTTTTTAATGTAACTTTTGATTTTCCGGGTGATATATATACATTTACATTTCATACAAAAAATTTAACTTTTGATTGCGAGTTTAGTTGTTGTAACGCATGCCCAAAAGCTTACAGTCATTCACATATAACACTACATAGATGTACAGTGGAAGAATGGACTAGGGCTACATGTATTAATGGGTTGGACCCTAATCATACGTATGAGGTGGGGTGGGGGGTAATGGACATCCATATACTACATAACACGCCTAGATGTACATTGCTAAATAAAAACATTTTATTCTCTTTATAAGAGTTAGTAATGTTGCCTCATAAAGCCATGAATCAATATTGATCATTATTAAAGTATAGCTTATAAAAATAAATCATGACTTTTATACATATACATTACATAACACCCTCGGGATGTACATTGTATATTTCTGAATATTCTTATGTAAAAATACATATATTATGCATAGTCATGAATCAATATTGATTAAAATATGAACTGTAACCCTTTGTTAGAGAAAAACTTTAACCATAATATAATACTTCTATCAAATTATTTCATAATCGTGAAGTTCAATTTTGAAAAACTTTATCAATTGGTTAACATTTCATTGTCTTTCTAGTGTATTTGTGTTGTTGCGAAAAGTTGTTCATGTTACTTTGATATTAGTTACAACATTGAGAAAATTGCACATGAAAAGAGACTTCATGTACGATTTAATCTCTCCACTTATAGTTAAGATGGACATTTCCAGATATAATAATAGATACGTAGTAATTGAGTAATTAATGCACTTGAGAGGGAGAGGAGAAAACAAACAAAATTTCATCAACGGAACTATGGAAACAATATGATAGAAATCACTACAAGAGTATAGATTTAACGTAGGTTGTATTTTTCTTTATTTATTCAAAAAAGTACATAGTTATTCGTTTTCAGTGAACGAAAAGTAAATTTTAAAAATCTCACTTAAGTGAATAGTGTGACACAACCCTTAAAATGATTATTTGATAACTTTTATGTTACTTGTTTTATTCAAAGTAGCATTGGTTACATTTTAGGCTCTCTATGCACATCTCTTAACGAGTGATCACTAGGTTAATGATTCTTTTGTTGAAAATTGTGTTTGACTAAAATATGATAATATAATGCCTGGAGAGCGCGCACGCGCCCGCACACACACTTGTAGCATAAAGCGGAAAAATATATCATACACCCGGCTGTACCGTGCACACGGTACAACCATATATTTTACGTTAAGAGAAATGAGCATTCCATTTAAAAAAAAATGAATATTGATATTAAATTATAAAACTAGTACAATAAATATTTTGACCATAGTACAAAGATAATACGGAGTATAAGTAAACGAATAAGTTGATTTCTAGCATATATATTATGTGTAGATCAAGATACTCAATTGCGTGCTTATAATACTGAACTGTGCTATTAATATAGTGATTTAATACGAATAGTCATTTCTTTTAAACGTACGCTCTCGCATAAAACTCAATAAAAATCAACTTTTCAAGAAAGTGACACATTAGAAAATTAATCATATATGTATAATTAATTGTAGAAAGCAATAACTATGTAGTATTTATCTAAACAAGCTGTGTACATAAATAGTAGCCATAAAATGCTAGACATTGACTATAAGACACTCAAACACTGCAAAGAGGTAATTTAATATATGATGTAATAACTACTACCGATATATTCAGACTTTACAAAGGCAGTATATATCGTACTGATAACGTATTGTAAATCAGACTCAAAAGTATACACGGAGAGAATGGACTAGGGCCACATGCACCAATGGGCTAAACCTTAACCATATTTATGGGCTAGGCGTAATGGACATCTATATATTACGTACGGAGTAGTACATAACCAAGAGTTACTTTTGACCGAATTAGGTGGGATCGATATAAAAGACCCTTTTAGCTATTTCTCGTATAATTCTTTTTTTTTTTTACATTTTAAATATAATTTTTTCGTAATTAAGCAGATTCAGTCAATTCAATCATTTCAATCAGAAAAGATGATTGATATTGGATTGATAAAGTAATTGATATTGGATTGATAAAGTAAAAATAAAGTAAATACGATTTATAATATGATCATACAAACTTTAACAAATTCACTATGGAAATTAAAAATCTAATAGAGAAGAATCGAAATATAAAAATGGAATAATCAAAAGATGATAATGTGTATGTTATGCAATTTTAAAGTACTTTTTATTTAAAGTGCTTATTTTTATGGTAATAGTTATGCAATTTTAAATGTACTGTTGAATAAAGTACAATTTATATTATAATATTGAACTAATATTTGTTCATTTTTATCTTTGCGAAGATATGGAGTTAACTGAAATTTCTCCAAGTGGCTTTGAAAAATGTTTAATAGACAGTGCCACAACGCACACCATTTTGAGACATAGAGATAATTTTTCTCATATGACATTAGTTATTGATGCTAATGTCAATACAATCTCAGGTGTTGCTAAACTCATTGAAGGTTCTGGAATAGTCTATGTGATTCTCCCAAAATGGACAAAATTAATAATTAAAGATGCTTTGAGTTTTAAAGATATGCGTCTAAATGGTTTTCATATTGAAACCATGTCTGAAAATAAGAAGGTATATTTATGTCTGATGACAAATAGATCTGGCAATAAATACATTTCTAAAAAGAATGCCAGCATATTCCTCGGGATTGTATTATACATATATCATTCCAATTGAGATAAATGTGATATCTAAAATTTATGACCACAATTCTTTTATCTTGCGGCATGACCGTTTAGGTCATCCAGGCAGCACTATGATGCACAAAATTATTGAAAATTCACTTGGACATTCATTAACTAATGTCAAGATTCCACAATCAAGTGATTTTCCGTGCACTGCCTGTTCTCTTGGCAAATTAATTATCAGGTCATCTTTATACAAAATTGGAGTTGAATCTCATGCATTTTTAGAAAGAATTTAAGGAGATATTTGTGGGCCAATTACCCCTCCGTGTGGACCCTTTCGATATTTTATGGTGCTCATTGATGCATCTAACACGTTGATCACACGTCAGTCTTTTATCGACTAAAAATTTTGCATTTGCAAATCTCCTTGCTCAAATTATTCGTTTGAGATCACAATTTCCGGATTACTCAATAAAGAAAATTTGTCTTGATAATGCAGGAGAATTTACATCCCAATCTTTTAATGACTATTGCATGTCTATTGGGATTAATGTGGAACATCTAGTTCCACATGTGCATACACAAAATGGTCTTGCTGAATCTTTAATTAAGTGATTACAATTAATTGTTAGACCATTGTTGATGAAATCCAGATTACCATCATCCGCATGGGGTTATGCTATCATGCATGCTGCAAATTTAATTTGGCTTAGGCCAACTGCATATCATAAATTTTCCCCATTGCAATTAATATCTGGTAAAGAACCAAATATATCACACATAAAAATATTTGGTTGTTCCGTGTATGTACCAATTGTTCCACCTTATCGTACTAAAATGGGTCATGAAAGAAGGCTAAGAATTTATGTTGGCTTTATATCTCCCTCAATTATTAATTATCTAGAACCTATGACTGGTGACTTATTCATCGCGCGGTTCGATGACTGTCATTTTGATGAGACAGTATTCCCAGCCTTAGGGGAAGATATTAAAGAAATGGACCCACATACGAAAGATATTACATGGAATGTTACAAATTTATCTTTTCTTGATTCTCGCACAAATGCTTGTGAACAAGAAATTCAAAAGATTATTCATTTACAAATTGTTGCAAACCAATTGCCTGATGTTTTCACAGACTCAAAGAAAGTGACAAAGTCAAAAGATTGAAATGATCATAGTTTCAATAAGCACGAACCAGGTCGTGCTGATACTCCAGAAATTGTGATCTCAAACGAACCAGGTCGTGTTGTTTAAAGATTGAAATGATTATAGTTTCAAAATTAATGATTAAAGACGCTTTATACTCCAGTAAATCACGGAGAAATCTTTTGAGTTTTAAAGATGAGAAATGCTAGAGGTACACACTTTGTGTACACTCGTCTGTCTCTTAAGAAAATTTTGTCTGTCACAGACAACTCATATATGAATTGTTTGTGACAGTCAAAATTTTCTTAAGAGACAGACGAGTGTACACAAAGTGTGTACACAAAGTGTGTACACAAAGTGTGTACCTCAAGCATTTTTGTTTAAAGATATGTGTCTAAATGGTTTTCATATTGAAACTATGATCATTTCAATCTAAATGTGTTCCTGATCATGAATAGTTGGAAGATGATTAAGGATGTTTTTACTTGGACTGTAATTTGCTGGTCTGGTCTGGTTGGATCTGGTCTGGTCTGAACTGGTCTGGTCTGGTAAAGTCTGGTTTCTTTGTATTTTTATAACTATCCAAGTCTGGTCTGGTCTGATCTGGTCTGGTCTGGGGCAAATTACAGTCCAAGTAAAAACATCTTAATTCAATTACTACGTATATTTCAAGTATTTTAGATAGAGCAACGCTACTCATTCAAAAAAAGAAACAGCGACACCAAAAGTCAACAACCCAGCCTCGCCAAAATTATATTGGAGGTCACCAAAACTGGAGAATATCAGAAATACATTCCTTATTGAGACTTTCTTTACGGAAAATAAGAAATTCTATAGATGAAAAAAATATCGACTTTTTCTATATGACCGACCAGTTCAGCGCACTTACACTTCTTCTGTATGTAAATTACATCTTCTTCCCAGAGACTTGACGGAAACCTGCACATGGTGAACTCGCGCGGCTAAGAATGGCGGAGCTCCTTCTGGCAAACCAATACCTTTGAATTTCCTCCCCCGTCCTCTGTATTTTCTTTACGGCAGCTCCATCTCATCCTCTTAGCAATGGCCGCGATGGAATCAATGTACTGAGTGGAGTCGCGAATCAATGCGTACCCCTTGGGCCGCAATATCCTATCCATTTCTAGGAGCACATACTTCATTTCACATCTGCACATGCATGGGAAGGAAGAAGAGATAGGTCAAGGTTGACAGTTGGGTAAAAAAAATTGACTGGATTTGGTGAATAGGAAATTTTAGATTTTTATTGTCATTTTGTCTTTATTTTATTAGTCAAATGTATTTGAGCTCGGTTTTCTCATAATTGAGCAGATTTTGCTGTTTCCCATTTTAGTAGATTTAGCCATTTTAACTAATTTCATAGTTAATAATCTTATTAAGATTTGTGATTTCGTCAGACAAACCAATGGAAAGGTAGCTCAATGCTTATAATCTTTAATAATTCATTTGAATGCCTTCCCGATTGAGTTGTTAGCTGAAAAATTCATCAAAAATATGCATTAAGTAAACTATACTTAATGCATAAGATGCTAAAAAAAATCATCAAAAAATTCCACCGGGAACTGCCCTAAATGGCGAAGGCCGGACAGGGACTCTTATATAAGGGCTTATTTGACATTTTTTATTAGTACGTGGACTTATTTGCCCCTTTTCCCCCTTTCCCCCTTTGATTTATTTGGATCACTTAACATTTTCACCATGCAAGGATAATTTTGGAAGATCAATTTTTATTTTTATTTTCCAATTCTTGAAGTCAAACCAGGAAGTTAATTTCGAGAGGGTGAGAGTATTCAGTATTATATTGGTTTGTTTTTTATACATATAATAATGAATGCGAGTCAAACTCTACGTTTTTTTTTATTTAGCAGTTTTTTCATATTCCAGCATATCTGAACCGTGTAGGCGTGTACTGTTTTCCATAGGAGACCTATATCATATCTATGGATTAGGTTGACTTTTACCACATATTAAGATTTAGGTTACATCAAAAGTGATCAATTTTGTTATTTCCATATTTAGATGATTTAGAAGACTGGCATAATATGTTGAGTTCTTTTTAAGGAAAAGCCTTTGGCGACTTCCATCTACAGCAAATGAGTGACAAGTGCTGCTTATTATGCTGATAAGCAATTTAAGCAGAATAACTCGGTACCAATTACCAAGCGAGGCCTAAACTTCAAACACCGTACATACCTATGGCTTTCAGCAGTGAAGAGGCCATCAACGTGAAGGAGATCATATGTTCTAGGATAAGTTGAAAAGGCTTCACACCTGTAACAAGAGTATATAAATTATTGACATTGATGAGTATAAGATAATGACCTACTCGAGAAAAGAAGTAAAGAACATTAAGAATGCAATGTGGTGTGAGCTTACCAGTCATGATAAGTACCAATGAGACCCCTATCATACACCACAGTAAGTGTATTTACTGCGTAAGAAGAAACAACGTTCATGACCCACAAAGGATCATCGACAAGCGAAGCAGCAAAACCTCCGTACAATGTGTTCATGTCCATGACATTTCTGATCTTATCAGTCCCAAGATAAGGAAGCAGTTTCTTGTAGTGCTTCACTCGTTTCTTCCACAGACTATCATCGTGTCTAAAGACAGCTTCATTTCCTCCACGAACATCAAGAACCCGCCCCGGGGCAACATGCAACCTTTCGGGCCACTTGGGAAGCGATTCCAAATTTACTTTCTTGCCCTTTACAGTTGGCACTACAACACATGTCCGCAGTGGTGTGTACCATGCTGAGTCAGGTTCAAGACTGTCATCACATTTTGGAGGGTAGTTGTCGGGACTTTCAAGATGCTTATAGCAACTATTATCTGATAATTTCTGCCACACGGCAATGTCGTCCTTCTTGTTGTACAGTTTGAAACAAATTGAAGTTAGCAAATCTTGGAGTTTCTCATAATCTGATCTCTGCGCTTCAATTGTGGTGTTCCATCCTCTCCATCGGTTTTCATAGTTCACTGGTGGACCCGAGAGGACCCAAAACCCTCCAGGACGTAGTATGCGATGTATCTCTAGAAGATATGTCCCCCCTGAAAACAATAAATCAGATGTATATGCTCAAGGTGAGATAACTTTCTTGTTGTGTGAAACATGCATGCACTACTAGTAACCACTGAATGAGTAGATATTATTTATATATGAAGCACCCAAGTCTTTCTTATAAAAGAAATCAGTAAGATACTTTTGAAAGAAACGAGAAAAGTAAGTGTGAAGCTGAATTGGGAAGAGATGGAGTACTATATTCTAACAAAAAGTACTCCGTTTGTCTCAAACATGTCAATTCTTAACTAGATGTAATGCACCTTCAAATAAAAAAAGTTATTTATATCTATTCAGTCACATTAGGCTCAGAACAAAGAATGATAGAGTATCACTCAACATATTTCTCAGACACTATTTTTTTTTATACATCGGAAAAGTTTCTCAGACACTATAGTGCAGCCAACTTAACTGTCTTTTATAAGAAATTTTTTATCAGATGAATTCGGTTTTTGCAGTTCAGAAAAATTAAGAAACAGTTTTCTATTCATAGAAAAATTACCAAATTCAGTCCATGGAATAAGGCATCTCGAACAGTGAGCCATATCAAAGGAGCTAGAAGGGAAAGGAAGTCGTTGTGTAGAAATGATCCCCAGAATGGCAGGTATCCCACGTTCTAAAGCAAACTGAACTTGAGCCTCGTGATTATCTCTTGGCGCTAGTGAGACTGTTAGTATCCCACGGTCCAGTAAATCCCCTCCCCAGCTTGCTACCTTAAACATCACAACAACATTGATTCCTAGTAAAGGTCGCATTAAACAAAATTGCAGACATATTATGCCACAACCTGTCACGTAAGGATTTTCCGCTGACCCGAAATGAATGAATGATAATTGAATGAAACAGTGACCAAAATATGACGCTGAGAGTTTCAATGTTCAAAATATGACAAACTATTCTAATATCTCTTCTCTCCTCCACCTGCCATCTATCTGTCGCCAAAAAAAAAACTAGGAGACAGGGGCATGTGGAGAGTGTCATTGGTAATTCAAAGTTGAGGCATGCCGCTTTAATATTAAACTGACATATTTAGTCACTTTTAGAATACTTAAAAGGTAGTTACGTTTATGTCTTGTGCTTTTTCTATAGTCAAAACTCCAAAAAAAGTTTATGCAATCAATACTAAAGGGATTTAAAGCAAGTTTATTCAATGTCGAATAGCTGTTCATTAGTTTCACATATTTTCTCTTGCATATAAGCATCATATAACAAAAGATATTGTGTGCCATCGGGACTTTTTAAGAACACAGAAATGGGAAAAAATGATTTCCATATCTGTAAGCTGTAAAGTAGATATAAGAGCATCTCCAATGCTATAATGTGCACGGTGCACATGTGGCATGAGTGATAGCCACATAAATATTAGCAAATAAATCATCTCTCTCCTTATTTGAATGATTTTATACAATTTTGGTAAGTTTTTCCCTGCAATGTCAACAACAATGTCAACATCTAGACGGTCTCCTTGACATTGTAGAGAAAAACATACCAAAACTGTATGAAATCATTCAAATAAGGAGAGAAAGAATTTATTTACTAATATTTATGTGGCTATTTCTCATGCCATGTATGCTCACTAATGACTAATAAAGAACATGTAGAACATTTAAAAAAGTACAAACCAATAGATAACTAATAATCAAACGTTTCCCAGCCACTGGTATAACTAATATCCATTAATATCAACTCATTGTAGTCATAAGAAACTGAACCGTCTATTGGCGTGTAAGAACTAAGAAGTGGTATATAACTGCCATATTTGGATGGCCTAAAACTTTGAAAATGTAGTGTATATAATATACAAAAACTGTTTTTATTTTGCTCAAAAACTAAATACTTGAAAGATTTCTCTAGTTAAAAATTTGACTTAAAATTCACTTATATATGAGATTTTATTACATAATAAGGTCTAACTGTTTCTATGCCTGTCACTGTTTAAAGTTATTGTAATCCTTTTTGAAAGGTCCCTAAATAAAGCACATTTTCCTTATTTGGTGAAGAAAATCTTATCAATTTTGCTCCATTACTCTCAAGTAATAAGTAATAACAAGTATACACCTAATACACTGTACAACGATGTTAACACTTAACACAGTATATTCTATAGTAAGATTTAAAAGGGCACTTCCAGAAGTCAAAGAAAACAAATCTAATATCCTTAAACTATGAACTTCTTTAAGAGATGGAGAGAGTATTTAATTATCATAGAGCTTCTAAAAATTAAGGCGATCTTGATAAGAAGTTGTGCACTTACCCCACATCCAGTGTCAATGGCAGTCCTGATCGTACCATCTTTCATTCCAGGAATCAAACTTACCATGGAATCAACATATTCACTAACTCCATTGGGAAACATGGTTCCTCCTCCAGGAAATAGGAACTTCTCCCCTTCTTTTTTTAACCAATGCTGATTAGATTTTTGCTTGTTGATCCAATCATATGGAACATTTCTGCAACCACATCCAAATATATTAAAATGAGCAGGCACTTAAAAAATCTAACCATGCCTTCAAAAGCCAGCTAGCAAATTCAAACAAGACTTTACCTGTACCAACATTCACGCTTGCTCTTTGGCCATCTGATTGGCTCCTTATAGCCATCCGGCGGAGGGACCAAACATTCCATCCTATCAAATGCAGGAGGGCAGTGGCGTTCCATGAAAGTTAGCCTTTGAAGACTATATTTCCTCCATCTCTGTAATATCAGCACCATTTTTAACATGGTGCAATACGAAACCCCATAATAGACATGATAGGAGATGTTTGTAACATTATACTCCGTATTTATTTAATGTTAGATGAAATAACATACTCCAACACTTTGATGGTTTGTCAAAGCACACTAACCTTGAAATCAGTGTGATCTTTTTCAGTCTTAGTCGAATTGATTATGAGTCCTAGTTGGATCTATTACTTCTTTGGTCATAATCGACTCAAATACCCTATTTAGACTCGAGTTCATTTTAAAAGATCAATCTGAGTATAACAGTTAGTACTCAAGAGTTTGTATGTAAGCTTTTTTCTTTAATTTTGGCTAATATGAGATACTTTGTATTTAATAGAGTACTAACAACAGACATCATCACACCATGAGATTGGCTTTCAATATTACCCTGGGATCTGTGCATGGAGTGTAATCCTGGAAGTCAGGACTGCATTCGGGAATCAAAGTGGTGTCAGCATTACCCTTGAGAGGTACAACCTCCTTGGAGACATGATTGTTACTAGTTGATGAATAACTCCCGTTGTCGGAATAGAAGACTCCACCGAGATAAAACGAAACCCCACACAGCACCACAAGCAATAGCGCCATTGGAACTTTCCTGGAATTTTGTTTGTGAATGGGTTTCCCATCTTTATACTTCATCCTGCCCCAAATGTATATCAACTATCTGCAAAACAATTTGAAACTTACCACAATTCAAAACAGAGAAGAATGAATCCCATAATGCTGGAAAACTCTACGAACATCAAATCATTTCATAAGATCCGATCAGTAAACAAGAGTTAATGAGACAACTCTACTAACACCATTTACCTGTCCAGCCGGAAAACGAAATTAGCCAACTGGACTGTAAAAATGCCCCCTCTTCGGCTTATTCTACTTATTATTCTCTTATCAGCATCAGAATAAGTACCTTTTTGACATACTTATTCGATTGAAATGAAGTTTACCAATAACAAACAGGATCTATCTATATACAAAAAGAACAGTAAAACCCAAAAGCCAGCAAACTAATACTCCGTAATTCTTTTGAAGGTGTACAGTACACAATGAGTGCAGAAAGCCTTTATAGAAAAGCAGGCGTCCAAGTGCGGAACCTTTTTGACCGACACTAGTAGTATAATAAATCAGCGGAAAAGTTTGTTGAAACCGAGCTAATCAATCGCGTACCTAACGGAAACCATGTGCAGATAAGGAAAAACAACATTCAATACAGTCCTACGCAATCACAATCTCTTTCTCTATTTGGATCATCAGTTACCTTAACACACCACTCCTAAAATTTACCATAATTTACACTGTGATCCTTCATTAATACCCCTCATTAAGCAGTCAAAACAGTAATATTTACTCTCTGTAAAAAGGGTATTTAAGAAAACCAAATAAAACATCTGACTTTCTTGAATCTGGAAATAAAAATCATAACTTCAAGATTCTTTTACTTTCTTCCCTCAGATTAGAATGGAAAGAAAACCCAGTTTGCAATTTAATTACAAGGGAAACAGATAGATCAAAGACAAGATAAGATGGAAATAAATGCGAAAGGGACTGTGGAGTGAAGAATGCAATGCGCCGATCTGAAGGAGATCTGGCGAAAGTACATAGAGATCATCAATGTCATAACTCATAATCCAGAGAACAGAATGACATTAGTGGAATGCAAGAAGAAGAAAGCTAAGAGAATAAATTACCTGACACGCTGACTGATACACACAAACGTCAAAAACGCAATTATTTCACTCTCTATACATGTATGTGTATATATAGACGAAAGACGATCTACCTACAAAACTATTCTGACCCAGAAGGTAAGTTAAAACTGAGAGGTCCCAGAACTCTCAGATTTACTATATGTCGGTCTATACGTAAAGAAGCAAAGATTGACTAACAAGAACCAGAAAATGAATAAAAAAGAGAGAAAAGAGAGGGGATCGGAGATGGTGAGTGGGTCTTCTTTGATCTTGATAAATGATTAAAGAAAAGGAAAATAATGCTGCTTTATCTTTAAAAAAAGAAACTTTATGAATTTCTGTCTGGATCTTGGCAGACTGCCATGACTGGCTAGCTGTCCTATATTGATGTTTGGCTTTCATAGAGTGGGTACCTTCTTTCTACGCTTCTCTTGTCTCTTTCTGCATGTGCGCCTAACGTAGTCTATGTCAAATCAGTCTCCTCTTTGTCTCTCTCTCCACGTTCCCATTGTAAATTGGGGAAGAATCATCATTCATCCCTACCAAAATCAAATCTACCATTGATCAAACAAGTTACAGGCATAAGTGAATGTTTGGGTTGTTTTATTCTTTATTACTCGCATGGCTTACAAACTGTCAAATTCTTAGCGAGCGTTCGACTTGAATTGCCCGATGGAGTAATAAGTCCGGTCTTTGACTTTGTAGCTGCTCCGTGTCTTGGCTATGTACAAATGTTATAGAGGGAGGATTTGGATTTATTCATTTCTGGCTATGTACAAACTTTTTCTATAGTTTGAAATAGTTCGATTTCTATTTATCTTTTCTCTCTTATATTCTAATATGTTTACGTTCAGTCTCATTTTGTCTTGTTTAATTAGAGGTAAGTATCAGATGGTATGAGACGATTATTTAAAAATAAAAGAACATGTACCGTCCCGAACCTATACAGAACATGTCCCGTTTCGTACCAATTTTCAGTACGGTTTGGTACGTTTTTCGATACTATTTGATGCTTAAATAATTATCTCTCATAAAGCTAGTAAAAAACATACGGAGTATTAAGTTTTATCATTTCTAAGTAAGTAATTATGTAGTATACAAGAGAGAGGAACCCTAGCGGCTGTTTCCCCTCTTTGTAGGGGTTGAGATTTTCCGCCGTCCCTATCAATATGGGGTTGGAGCGGCAGTTTATACTGAGTTTCAGTGTTCTAACGCTTGTGATTGCAACTACGTCGAAGGAGATAGCGTCGGCAGATGAACGAGGTGCAACTGGGAGGTTGTATCGAGGCGGGATCGTGAAGTCTTGGTCGGCCATTCCGACGATGGTGAAGTTGGTATTCACCCATATTGTAAGAGCTCATCCTCCGATCCTCCGGAACCACCTCCATACCAGGAAGAGCTATGTGGAAAGATTTTATTTCAGTATTATTTTCTCTTTAGTATCACTTGTTTCTGTTGTAGTCCGAGTAGATTTGGTTTGAATGATTGAATTTTTGGAGTTCTTTTGATAGGCAAGGGTTCAGTTCCGGTTGTTTTAGGCCTATTGTTCGTTTCAGGGTTAGCGAGTTATGTTGCATTGTATGAGGTGACAGTCTCTAAGTCTACTCCTAGAATTCACGATTGGATTTGTGAATTTTGCCTGAACGTCCGCTCCTTTACGATAAAAAAAAGTAAGTAATTGTACAAAAAATTAAGAGAAGGGATTACATGATTGAAATTAAAAGTTTATGTTAAACTAACTTTATGTAATCAAACATAATTGAAATACAAAACTAATAGTCAAACTATAATAAAATTATACTCCCTCCGTCCCATTTTGGTTGTCCTACTTTCCTTTTTGGGTTGTCCCAAAATGAATGTCTTGTTTCCTTTTTTGGATGAAATATGTGGTTCTTATCAATTCACTTTATTATACTCAAATCTCAACCACAACTTTTACTTTTCAACCACTTTATTAATAATCGTGCCAAATTGAAAGTGGACAACCATTATGGGACGGAGTAGCATTACCAGTCTTCAGGATGCAGAAGAGCCGAGGTTGTCGACAAAGTAATTAAACTAGGTTTAAGTGTTACGTATCATATTTATTACTAATATTATTTACAAAATCTAGTACGCTTAAGAATTGTATTGGGGCACAAAGAATGTACATTGCATGGTCTATGTCAAAGTTTTGAGTAACCACAATGTAAATTATTGGCCAATAATATATAACCAAAATATAAAGAATTGGCCATTTCTGATGGAGTGATAAGTCAAATATTATGTGCCACAATATAATTATTGGCCAATAATATACAAAGAATTGCATCTATTACGCTTAATAATATATATATTATTGGCAATACTTTACAATGTGGTTACTCAAAACAATGTACATTCTTTGTGCCCCCAATACAAATCTTAAGCGTATATATAATTCTATATAACCAATTTTCGGGACAATACGAGAATGTTAGGTTCAATAAATCAATACGGATTTGAGCCCGGTTCTGAGACGGTTCTCACTTAAGAACAAATACCGTACCATATTATAAAAAATATCGAAAAGATTCACCAAATTGACTTTTCTTTGTCCATGACAATCAATTTTGACCAATGATATTTTTTAAAACGAAATCATTTTGAATATGAAAATTATATCAAAATGTTTCTTATTCAAAACATTTTCATAAAAATATAAAATTTATAAATTATATACAAATATAATAATCAAAATCATAGTTCAAAGTTAACTATCATTGATCAAGCTGAAAATCAATATGGTGAACCTTTTCGGAACGGAGGTAGTACATTTTTTACTCTGCCCATAACATGCTACTCTGTATAATATAGGAGTACTTCAATATGTCTATTTAATAAAATGTGCTATCAATAAGTACTACTCCAGTTCTTTTTTAATTGGAACGAATTTCACATTATTCATATGTTCTATTTTGATTATATTTATTCATTAAGGTATGAAACAATAAGGTTACAAATTTAATTTGTGAAAAAATATTTTTAAATATCTCTTAAATTTGATTTTTTACCTAATAAGGTATGAAATATATTACTCTGTAATTGTCAAACTTGTACGTACATTGATCAACGTGAAAATTGGAACAATTGCAACTAAAAAGAACGAATAAAGGATTAATTAGTATTGGCTTGATCTAATTTGTTCTCATTCAATATGCTGAAGTCTTAAATTATTACTAATACTAGCTTTTATACGCGCAATGCGCGATAACAAATGCCTAATATTGTAACCGTGAACAAATACAATTTATTTATACAAAAATTACCTCTCTTAATTACGCTTAAGTATAAGCTTCAACTCATAGAATGCACAATAAGTTCATTAACATTAGAATTAGGGAGTGTTTCCAATAACCTGTGCTTTACAAAACATCACTTTTTAAAAGTGAGTTTGGAAAAAATGTTTAATAGTAAATGTTGGTAGTGTTTCAGAAAAAAAGTGATTTTGAAAAGTAAAAGCTGGTAATGTTTGAATTGGTAAAATATGTATTTTTTGTGTAATAGAAAAATAAAAAGTAGATTCTAACTTTTAACTTTTTAGTGTTTTATTTAAGTAGAGTTGTCACTTGAAAACAATATTTTTTAGCTTTTTAAGGCAAAAAGTCGAGAAACATTTTTTTTTAAGTCTTTGCAAACACCCCTTAATATATGAGTAAATGTATGTAGTATTATTTTTATAAATGGGGGCCCTAGACAACTTTGTAGGCTACCTCTCCCTAAAGTCGGGAGTAACTTTAGGTTCTCTAGAAATATGGTCTTCTCATAAAATAATATTGCTTCTGTTCTTTTTAGTTGTAACGTAACATTCCCATTTTCACGTTTGTCATCACATACCTTTGACCGTAATTATATTTAATTCTCTATTAGTAAAAATTCTAAAACCAAATTACAAAAATTTCTAATGAGACAAATTCAACAATATTTAAAAAAATCAATTCTCATTTATTAATAAATAAAATATAGTCAAAATAGTGTATGTGAATAGTGTAAAGTTATACATATTGCAACTACAAAATAGAGTATATTATACTTAAAAATGAAGTATATGGTAAGCACATAATTTTACCTAATAATAAACTCTAATTTTGTTGTGAAAAACACCCACTAAGTTAGTTAGATGTTGACACATTAAAATAGATAAAAACTGTTTTCATTAGCCAGGGAGATGAAAATTTTGGCTAGTAATTGGATCACGGTCATATTATTACTTAACGGAGTCAGGGTATTCATGACCACTAAAAAAATTAAGTACATTACTTTAATAAAAGAGTACAAGTTCAAATGCATAGAAGAGATTGACACATTAGAGGGCTACTAATCAATATTCATGATTATAAGGTTTTTAGATTAGAAGATGTTAGCCTGTTAGGGACTCCCTCAACGGTCTCTCCCTAGCAGGTCTAGGGTTTGGATTTTCCTTAGTAGATCTAAGGTTTGGTTCTTCTGGCTGGTGAATCCCCTTCACCTGTGTTCGGCGCTGGGATTGGATTTGAGGCAAATTGATAAGAATCCTTGGCCAAGCTTGACGACATTGAAGCCAGAGTTCGGCGATCGTTTTCTTCGTGAGCAGGGTAGCAAAGGCATGGCAGCGATGAAGATGACCGCTAGAGGTGGATTTGCTACGAGCGCGGGACGAGGAGAGTTGCACGGATTTCGAACAAGGCAGATGATGATTGACAATAGAGGATCAATTAGAGTGACACCAAGGATACAACCTCCTTCTCAACCACTGCCATGGATTGTGCGAGATGCTAGAGTCCGTGAAAGTTTTCAAATAAGTTTTCATTATTTTGTCATTTGATTTCTTGTTATCGTCTATGTTGTTAGGTTTGTCAATTTGTTTGGGAATTTAGTCTTGTTTGATGTCATTGAGCATGTTTGGATCTATGAGAATAGGGATGGCTGTGTCAAGCCCGTTACATGATTAGCGATTCGTGTTGCTCTTTCAGGGGTGACCGTTTGTAAGGCTCATCATAGGGTTTACAGTCGTAGTTGTTGGAGTCTAGTTGGTGTCAGATTTGTTTTTCATTTGATTATGTAATGATCCTGAAACTTATGATATAAATAGAGGCTAGTTTTCGTTCAAAAAAATTTCCCAAATATTACTTAAATAAGTTGGATGGACAAAAGCACGACAGAGGAACAAATTAATTAATCATTGCAACGTAAATTAGAAATCATCATGAATTCATAATCACTAAGTTTACTATGATAATCACTGCTTGGAAATAACAAAAAAATTCAAGAGAAGAAGAAATTGAGGAAATAATTAATATTAAGAAGTGTTTGTGATTGCTTCTACTAAAAAAGTGATTTTATGAAGTGATTTTGAAGAAAGTGCTTGATATATAGTAAATGTTGGTAGCGTTTGATAAAAATGCTTCTGAAAAGTAAAAATTGATAGTATTTAATAAAATAAATGCTTTTTGTGTAAAAGAGAAAATGAAAAACAATTTAAACTTTAAATTAAAGCACCCCTTCACCTAATTCAACTTTTAAGTGTTTAACTTAGACAGAAGTAGTCACTTTGAAAATATTTATTTCAGCTTTTGTTAAGGCAAAAGCTTAAAAACTTTTTTTTTTGCAAACACTCCTTTAGTATGAAGTAGTTGAATTTATGCTCCACTTCTGATCTTGTTGAAAACTATTACTCGTAGTTCTTGGATGAATGTTTAAACTTAAATGTCGTATAAGA